ATAGGCTTCTACAATGGCATGACTGGCTGGGTAGATGAGGGGAGAGCAGTGGATATGGTCTACCTTGACTTCAGCAATGCTTTTGACAGTATCTCCCATAACATCCTCATAGGTAAGCTCAGGAAGTGGGAATTGGATGAGTGGACAGTGAGGTGGATTAAGCACTGGCTGAATGGCAGAGCTGAGGGTCGTGATCAGGGGTGCAGGGTCTGGCTGGAGGCCTGTAGCTGGTGGTATTCCCCAGGGGTCAGTTCTGGGTCCGGTCTTGTTTAACCTGTTCATCAGTGACCTGGATGAAGGGGTGGAGCGTCCCCTCAGCCAGTTCACTGATGATACAAAACTGGGAGGAGTGGATAAAAAAAACCCTGCCATGCATTGAGACCGGGACAGGCTGGAGAGTTGGGCAGAGAGGAACCTGATGAAGTTCAACAAAGGCAAGTGTGGAGTCCTGCACCTAGGGAGGAATAACCCCATGCACCAGTAGAGGCTGGGGGTTGACCTGCTGGAGAGCAGCTTGGCGGAGAAGGAGCTGGGAGTGCCGGTGGACAGCAAGTTGACCATGAGCCAGCCATGTGCCCTCGTGACCAAGAAGGCCAATGGTATCTTGGGGTGCATGAGGAAGAGTGTGGCCAGCAGGTCGAGGGAGGGTCTCCTCCCCCTCTACTCTGCCCTGGTGAGGCCACATCTGGAGTGCTGTGTCTAGTTCTGGGCTTCCCAGTTCAAGAAAGACAAGGAACTACTGGAGAGAGTCCAATGGAGGACAATGATGATGATGAGTGGACTGGAGCATCTCCCTTATGAGGAAAGGCTGAAGGAACTGGGTCTGTTCAGCCTGGAACAGAGAAGACAAGACTGAGAGAGGACCTTTTTAATGCTTATAAATACCTTACTGGCAGGTGTCAAGAGGATGGGGTCAGACTCTTTTCAGTGGTGCCCAGCAACAGGTTAAGGGGCAATGGACATAAACTCAAACACAGTAAGTTCCATCTGAATATGGGGAAGAACTTGTGGCAGAGCACTGGAACAGGCTGCCCAGAGAGGTTTTGGAGTCTCCTTCTCTGGAGATATTCAAAACCCACCTGGACACAACGCTGTGCAACTTGCTGTAGGTGAACCTGCTTTGGCAGATAGGGTTGGACCAGATGATCTCCAGAGGTCCCTTCCAACCCTGACCGTTCTGGGATTCTGTGATTCTGACTTCATTGCTAATGAAATAACTGTATTCTGCAAGTTATTGTTGACTAAAAATGAAACTCAAGTATACCTGTCTTTGCAGGTCAGTATCTCCTGGATTCAATTTACTTTATCCAGTAATAAAAGAATACAGTGCAGATAGCATGCCAGCCCTTGCATTTTGCTAATGGACCGTATTTAAAAGTAATGAGTCTTTCCTGATCTGCTGAAAAAAAGCTTAACTGTACAGAAAAAAGCTGTCAGCAGAAGTGTGTGTGCGTGTGTATGTGGCTTCACTCCTTTTTATATTCTTCCTCCAAAGTCAGACTTCAAAACTGCACAAAACATAGGGCTTGTTTCTACATTCCCCTGAAGGTTGTTGTCCTGCAAAGAGGAACGATGAAACACCTCAGAGTTAGCATGAAAGGCAGGCATACATGAACGCTGTGACAGCTGCCAACAAACTGTGGCTTAGTTCACAGAAGGACCTGAACATCCATGATTTGAGTTCAAAATTACAGCACTGGACTAACAGGGAATATTTAGCACCACAATGTACCAGAGATAAGAAGAAAAAATGCAAGGAGCCACATGAACAATTAATTAACCAATTATTCTGTCCCCACCCCAAAATGGACTGTTTCTCAGTGGAAGTGATACTAGACAAATACGTATCAGCAAAGATACTCGAGTCTCATTTTTGCTTTACTTACTAAATCCTTGGCATTCAGAGATACGTCATCCCACCAGGGGGACACAAAGTCATATTCACAGTTTAGGATTCTCTTAAACATGTATTGATCTCCCCTTTCATCATAAAATGGTTCAAAGCCACAAAGTCTGCAAGGATAAGAAAGAAACAAATTTATCAAAGAGTAATTAGTCTTGGGTTGTTAGTTCCTGGTATTATCTTACCCTACTTTATGCCCTGTAGACCACTTTGGGAAACCAGACCTGGATGTTCTTATGAACTCCTAATTCCCCAGAGCTGAGCAAAATGTGGTTCTAAGCATTCATAAGCACTGGGAAAGGCTGATCAGATTGTAAATTTTCCATTTTCACATGTCTATAATTGGAACTATTAATACAAGGACTTACCATAAGAGGAGCTATGCAACAGTTGGTATCTGTTTACCTTCTACATACCAATAAATATTTTCTATCATCTCTTCGTTCTACTGGTCTCAGATTGAAATCCCTTGGACTATTTACTCATTCCTCAGTCTGGAACCTTTGCTCATCTCTGCCCTCTTTTGTGAGTCTTCTCCAGCTGTGTCTTTTTTGAAGCGTGTGCAAACACCATTCACTGTGGGCACACCACAGAGTTGCAAATTAGTGTAATGATGTTTTCTATTTTAATCTCCACTTCTTTGCTAACAATTCCTGACCTTGGATGCGCTTTTTTGGATTGTTTACAAGCACAGAGTTGACATGTTCATAGAGCAATTATCAAAATCCCTCTTTCCTGAGGGATAGGAATTAGCTGAGGAACCACATTTTACCTGTGAAGTTTGAAGTTTTAACATGTCCTGTTAGGACTGTTTTTTGATTATGTTCATCTCTGTATGTTCTTTCATCCTGCTATTCACAAAATGTAAAAACTTTTGGCAGGTTTTAATAATCAGTTCTCATCTTTACTTAAGTAATCTACATATTATCAAGAAATTTTGTAATTTCCCTTATGAGTGCATTTATGAATATATTGAATAATACAGATGCTGACACAGATCCACGCTGCTGGCCCTGGGGAAAGCAAACTCATAGAAGTGTTTCCATTTATATAGTGTCCTTTTTTGTTGCTTCATTGCACTTTAATCATGCTTGCACACATAATCAGATGTTTTAAAGTGAATTTCCTATTCAACCAGTAAGTGTTCTGAGCTAAACAGAAAGTCTATCTGCTACTCTGCCTCCAGAAAATGCAAGAAGCAACAAGATGATGACAGGATAAAAACAGCAGACCATAAAGAACAAGACAGCAACAAATCTAGAAAATTTAACCTTACATTTTAACTTGTTTTTATATTTTTAAACCCCATCAGTGTGCTTACTGTCCTGAAAAAGAAGACAGATGTTCAAGGAAGAACCATGTTTTTGGGAGTAGTGTGTAGCTGCGGGTGGAACAGCTACATCGCTTTGCATGGCTGAAGAGGAGAGAATCTCCACTGTAAGCACATTCTGGGCATGTTATTAATTTCCAAGTCTGGCAAAGATGGATTAAAACACAAGGATCCAACCTTCAAATGCTGTGTGCTTCAGTAGGTGGGAGTTGGTCACAGTCCCTCTGCTGCTCCCCTCCTGCTTGCCTGCCTCTCCCACCACCATTTCTGAGCTGGCTCCCGATCGACTCCTATCCCCATGCTGAGTAGGGTTGTTAGGCTGCTAACTGGTGCAGCCGAAACTGGCTTCTGGATACCAGGTAGCTGATGACATACAGTGAGGTCATGCTTAAGGCTTGTTGTGACTGTGTTAGAAGCCGCCTAAGTGATTCTCTATTTACTCCAGAAAATATTTTCATCATAAGTCACTACTATCACCTATTGTTGTCTTATTAACCTGCTTCTACCTAAAAAAACTTTCCTTTTTAGAAGACAGATTTTTTGCTACATGTCAAATTAGATGAATAAAACTAGAGGTGTGATTTCAAGTTAGATAAATTAAACCAAGTTAAGACCCAGCGTGGCTGCTCTTGATTTAATTTTATTATAAAATTTCATTTTATTATTTGATTTACTTTAAATCAATTACCTACCAAATAAAGAAAAAACCAATGTAAACAGCCTCAAAAGCAGTTAGAAATGACCAGATTGTGTCTGTTTAAGTAAGTTAGTAAAAAAACCACCTTTAATTAAATCCATGCAATTTTGACTACAGGCAAAGCCTCTGTATTTGTTGACCACCATCTGCATCTCAGTTGTGCAGTAGCGTTTCTAACCTACTGCAGGAACACAAAAGGACTGGTCCTCTTTGCTGTTAAAACTATAAATGTGGCTTCCGTGGAATTAGCAGTTATTATCAATAGGTCTTAACATAATTTGCCTCAGGAATAATTGTTCTGTCAAAATATGTGTCAAAGTTTTTCTTAATCACATGGTAAGTGTACTTTGTATTGGTGAGAAGATACAGTTTTATGCACATCTTCTGTAGCATGGCACTTAACTCTTACATCCACTCTATTTTGGAGGCATACACAGCAACACTTTTTTTTTGACTGTACATAACTGCATTCCCTCTACTAAACTGAGACTGAGACATGCAACACTGTCCTTTAGGCTGCAGGATTAATGAATTAGTTACTGTACATGTACCTTTCTGGTCTCAGCTTCTAATCCATCAGAAATGTTGATCTACAAAGTTTTACACTTAATAGAAGAGTTTTAAATGTTGAATATTGTTAAAGCTAAATGGACAAGATGGCCAAGAGCATTTGACTAGCACTCTTCTTGCCTGACTTGTTCCTGTAGGCCAAATTGGATTTCGAGAGGGGAGGAGGAGAGGACCAGAAGGAGGAAGTAGAGGAGTATCTACACTGGTAGTGTCCCACCGAGAGCAGGAGCTCACACACTTGTGTTTACACCAGTGCAGAGGTTTAACGTGGCTTGGGAGCATCTCCTGAACAGCCAGAAAGTTTTGAAAGGTTGCATATAGCAAATGCCACTCCATATATTCAAATGGGAATTTGCTGTACATTCTTGCTTGGAGCTTGCCTACACATGAAAGCAAGTTCTGCTTAAGGAAGGCTCTCAGTTTCAAGTACAACAGCTATCCCCCAAATGCTGAATAACCAGGCAAGCCCATGGCTTAATCTTGTTATCCCTGTAAAGGGACAACAAAAGGCACCTCTCCAATCTCAGAGGCAGCCATGCTGGCAAATTTCGTATCTCTCTGCCACGCGTGGATCACTAGAACTGATGAGGAATGTCCACCTGGGAGGCAGTACCTGAGATGTGATCTTCTACAGACTTGAACCAGGCCTTGAGACAAAGATTCACATTTTAAAAGGAGCACATAAGAAAATACCAAGTAGGAATACTGTAGCCTATTATTTACAGGCACCCAAAACGAGAGCTGTGACTTACTTGAAGCTTATGTAGAGAACAAAAGATGTTTTCTGATATTTCCATCAGAGTGTTTATATATCCTTACAAGTACTTTTAGTATAAACCCTAGAAAATATAATTATTTCTTTGCAAAAGACATAAAGAAAATAATTATTACACATTGTACTTGCTGGATACAGTTAATGAGTCCTACAAGGGGAAAGAAAATATTAAAATCCTCCATATCTTTAATATACATGTGTAAAATCCCATTTTCTTCCCATAAAAGGCATCCTGCAAGTATCGTATACAACTACACAAGCCCGCTTAGCATTGGTGTTGCCGAGGGAATAAATGAAGTTATTTATTCTGCCATAAAGAGAAGTGTCAATACATAAGATACCATTTTCCTTTCTCAACAAGCTTCCTTTGAAATATTCCATCAATACAATAAAATAATTACAATGCTCACAAATGGAATTAGGACTAGCCATATTAAGATGCAGACACAAGTGCCTACTTTTAGACACAACTGTTTGAAAATTTTGGTCTTTAGTTGTAACTTCAACTATTTAAAATATGTATGGCCAGCATTGCTCATAGCCCAGCATTGTCAATAGAGTCTCTGGTTATCTTGTAAGAAGTGCAACACTTCAATATTAATCATTCAACCCGTCAGACTGATTTGCAGACCGAGTTCAGGGCTGTTCCCTGCCTCCTGGCTGAGATGCTGTGATACAGCAACACTGATGCTGCAGTCAAAGCTGTAGCAGTGTCTGCGGCTGACAAGATGGGGCAGCTGCATTTGGGAATATTCACAGGCACTGTGAAACTACTGCAAGCACCTTAACTTCTCCTTGCCCCATTTGCAGTTGAGAAGCTACTTAGGATCATAGTGTATCTCACAGTTTGTGTGAATGAGAAAAAAAAAATACGATGCTTTCTGACACTCATATGCCTGTATTTTTGCTTTCAGCAGCTTCATTCACATTAATAGCACGATTCTGCACAGACCTTGCTGCTGTTCAGAAGGAAGTGCTATATTTATCAAATATATAACCTGAGTGTTTTGCCATGCTTTTCTAGGATTTTACTTACTTAAATAAGATTAGGAATATCATAATTAAAGTTCAGGATCTTGTGTTTTCCAATGGCACAGCTCATAATGTCATAAAAACCTGCAGGTGCTTACAAATGAAGCACTCCGTGGCACTGTCTGCACTTACAGGATGTAGGTGATAATCCCCAGAGACCACATGTCCACTTCAGGCCCATAGGCACATCCCCGTAGTATCTCTGGTGCTGCAGATGATAAAACACTTGTCAATAAGATTAAAGTTGAATGCAGAAATAATAGTCGTAAAGTCAATTTAAACTCCGCTCGTGTCTTTTTAAAAGTTAGTGCCTGCTCCTTAAGACCTTAATTAGGCAAATGATTCTTTTCACTGAGTATAAAGCAACAGAAGTCATGTCCAAGCACAGCCAGAATAAAATGAAAAGTGGACTTCAAAAAAAAAACCCAAACAAAACAAAACAGGTTTCAAATTGCTTTTTAGGCTTGTGAAAGGACCCACAGAAAGCTACAGCAGCACTGGAGCTGCAATATGACAAACCAGGTGGTACTTTTACTTCACTATTTTACTTATTTACTTGGTACTTTATTTGGGCTTTATTTTTGGTATTCTATCTTAACTGTGAGGAAAGACAAGACCATTTCAAGCAATTGTTTTTGCTGCAGTGTGGAGCAGGCAGAAAAGCAGTCTCAGAGGACTTCAGCTCTGCAATGGTAAAGAGGAGTTAATCTCTGCCCAAGCAGCTTGAAAGACACACCTCGAGGAAAGCTGAGCAGATCACTGTATCCCTCAGACAATACCAGTTGTTGCTGTGCGGGACTAAAAATGTGCCTGGTTGCACATTCAAACTCTGTTGTGCCCACCTCAAGTGCCCTGGTCCCCATGCCTCCAGGGCCCGTGGCACCACGTACCCTTGGGGTTTGCCTCTGACTGGGCAAACCTCCCTGGGCAAAGCTCCTGAGGGGGCAGGATGAAAACGCTGCATCTCCAGAGGAGTAAGTGCAAGTGCTTGATACCGAGGGAGGCAAGACCCTTCCCTTCCTCACCTTTTGGCCACAGACAAAAACACCCAACTAATTTTGAAAAAAATAATTAAAAAGACATTGCTCAGCCACACTTCCACATATCAGTAGCCCTTCTTCCCAGTAACCATTGTATCTGTATTAATATCAAATATACGGGATGGCAGTACAGCTCCTGAACCCACCAGCTCTACGATACACGTGAGATGGCTGCCACATTTCTGGGGCACAGTGGACTTGCTGCACCTACGCGCATCAATGCTGCAGGACATACACATTTCTTCACCTTCCCGCACTACACTTTCAGAGCCATGAGCAGCAGGGCCAAGAAGGGTTGGGGCTGCCTGAAATGTGTGACAGCTCCCTGCTCAGCCTGAAGCTTTGCTTGCCTGCCAGGACTGACCGAGGCTGCCGGCATGCTCCTGCTTTGTTCCCAGCCTGTGGGAGGTCTCCGTTGGGGCAGCTATGTCTCCTGAGGAACAGGCTGCAATATCCCAGGGGAGCAAGGCTCCCCCAAGCATGATTTTAATTAGAGTATACACAACTCCCTAATGGCCTCCAGGCAGCTGGCTCAGATTTCTTCAACTTACCTAAAGGATTTAGCACACAGGGAACATATCAAGCATTTTTACAAAGCATTAATATAAAAGGCAAAGGACATTATCACTAAGTTTGCTACATACCACTTGCGTAGTTGGCAGCTGAGCAAACACTTGCCAGTCTAAGCTCAGACTCTCCCTGCCTCCTTATTCTTCTGCTAGGTAAACTGATGAACAGAAAGAGACTGGTTTTGAGAAGTGACACTAGATCCCAACTCATTTTAACTCAAGTCAACCTGTAGCTAACAGGACAGCCTACAGGCAAAGCAGCCAATGGCCTCAGAGAAAGAGATGGAGATGGACCAAGAAAAGAGATTTTAATGACTGCTCTTCCTGCCATGTTTGTTAACACCATGTGGGGAGTTCTGAAGTAAATAGGACAGTTCTTTAGTTTAATGGCCAATATGCTTCCTCTTCTAGAGAATGCAATGTTTCTTGGAGGGTCTTCTTGCTCAGGATAATGGCAGAAGACACTTTCAGCCCTTCTTTCACTTTTCTCCTCCTTCCACCTCAGTTTTGTAAAATGGCCACAAAGGAGACCAAAGATTTGTATATAGAGGTCTGCCTTGGTATCTGAACTGTGATTACACATCTATTCATCTAGTAAATACATTTTTTTTTAATATTTCCAGAAGTTTGTTTTTGGGGAATGGATTTGACTGATACATTGCTGATATTTTAGATGTAGGCTGTAACAGACTGATCATGAATCACTGCTCTGCCCTGGCTTATATTTATATGCTACTGTCAGAAATCACTTACGCTCTTCTTGTTAAGTTCACTGAAAGCACATCTCAGCAAGTTAAGTTCTTTGTGACCATCTTCTTGCTTTCAGTCCTCTGCATCACTTTGCATGTCCCAGGGACTGTAGATTGGTAAGTCTTGATGCCAAAGCATCCAGATTCCAGTGTGTGTTTTTGTTGCTGTGTCCTTTCTGGAGAACCTGCTGATAGCTGGGTGGGCAGGATGTGGGAGTTGGCAGCCTATGACTATCCATTATTCATAGTTTAATTTGGCATTTCAACACTATTCCTCCTGGGTTTCCTCTACTTCTGTAAAGTAATGCTTGAATATTTGCCAGGCACCAGGAATTCTGCATGGTCAGTTAACTCAGGTTGTAAAGCAAGGATTGCAGGTCCATGTCTGTAGGCACAAAGCTCCTTTTTTTCTCTTGTTAGCACAGACATTCAGCGTGAGACCCCCCCGCTCCCCAAGTCGTCCCTACTCTGAGGGTTCTTTTATGGGAATAAGCCTTATCCTATTTTTATAGTATACGAAGACAGGCATAAAAAGGGCTAAATACTAGCTACGGTTTTATGGTATTTGTAGTACAACTGTCATGAGAGAAGACAATCAGAACAGTAATAGCTAATATGTGAAGTACAGTTTTATGAAACTAAGTAGACTGGAATTCAGTGCTACTCTAAAGCATACTTGGCACCTGTGTGTGTTTGCCAGAGAATGTCACACAAGGTAATGGACATGTCACCTGAATTGCATTATCAGCTGTGCTATGAGATAACAAGAGTAATCTTACGGTCTTTTTCAATGTCCTCTTTCCTTTGCTTCTACAGTTATAAAAGCAAAGGCCAAAAGTTTAGTTTCCACATGGCTTGGCTCAGCTCTGTCCAAAACTACCTGAGATGCTTACTACTCAGCACACTGCTAGCAACTTGTAGTCTCTTGTAGGCACCCATTCAGGATTTAGAGTTCAGCAAGAATGGCAGAAATAGGTTTCTCCACAAGATCACATTGTTTACTGGAGGTGAGTATCCACCATGGGAAGCCCAGCAGGCTTGCCTTGCTGTAAACAGGATCACCAGCCTCCCTGGCCATTAGCTGGTTTGCTGACATGGAAGTGCCTTGCAGTGAAGGGCAAGAAGACTGCAGAGGCAGCTGAAATCCTCTTTTGCCACAGAGGCTCCTTCTTTTGCATGTTCTGGCACTGGAGGATCCATTTCTGGCTCATTTGCTGGTTCCGGGAGTCCAGGCGACCTTCTGCACATGTCCAGGAGCTAGCTGTCCCTCTCTGACAGTGAAGCTGTGCACAAGGGTGCTGTACGAACAGTATGCACAGGATGCCCTGCTGAAAGCTTCCAGGCCGCCTGCGAAGCTCCGTCCAGCTGCTGGCTGCTCAGCCTTGCACAGCTCAGTGCCGCCATAGGAAACTGAGCCAGAAACCATTAGGGGTCTGCCCTGCTCTGCAGACCACCCACCCGCAGGCAGGCCGGAGGCTCTCCACAAGGATGGAGCACCCCACAGACCCGTGCCGTCCCCTCCAATGTGGGGACGCTGCTGCTGAAGAAGAGTCTGCTGTGTGCAGGGGAGGGCCAGGCTGGGCACATCCCCGCCTGCAGCAGGACAAGCTCCCGCAGCAGCCCCATGGGCAGAGTGAAATGCTCCAGCCCCACGACGGAACAGCCGTTGGGGCTCAGCAGAACCTTTTTAACTATTTTTTTCAAGACCAGTTGTATGCTGCTTTCCTTCTACTGCGACAGGTTATGTGCTTGAACTCTGGTTTTAGATTTTTGGATTTTTTCGGGGTTGGTTTTAGTTATGCCCTCTTTGGATTACCCACATCTGACATATAGCACAGCTATGGCATTGTTTGCCAGATGTTATGCATAAAGCAATTCTAGTGTTCACTCTCTGCCCCACTTATTTTCTCCCCAAAGCAATGGAGAAAAAAACCCACATTCCTAATTATTCATGGACTGTTACCAGTACTATATTTTTTCACTTGCTTAGCAAAACCTCATTCTCCCATGTGACAGTGAGGGAACATATTTTTACCTAAATGTGATTCTACAGAAATTTGTTTTAATTTGAAGTATCGGTTTTCTTGCATTCAAATTAGATGCTTTACATTAACAAAAGCTACAAGACTAAGAAGCATGAACTAGCTGTGACTTTGTAAAGTCGTGTAAGAACAGGACAACTGAGATGAAACACAGTTTCTAAACTTTGTGCACATCCTCCACAGTTAAACAACTAGAAAGTGTCCTTAAAGGCCACAAACTGAGAAATATAAACCCAACATCATTAAGTATATAATTTCAATTTCCTAATTTCTAAATTATAAAGGAACTAAAATTACCATCCTTATGTAATACGGTGCTAAGCTCATGAGTTGGATGTTTGCTCTGAAGTCACCCATAAACTCATGCTTGTTGAAGTATTGTGAATACACAGGCATATTAGTCATTTTGGTAAGCACTGGTTCATGCTGACTCTCACTCTCTTGGTAAAACTGAAGCAAACCTATGATTTCATTCTTACTTTGTTTAGGAGAAAAGAGGATTAGTTAAAAGGGCCAAAGCCTTTTTACTGCTGAAAGAGATCTACACCAGCCTCCCCAGTTGACAACATCTCCCACAAAGCACTCCTTGATATGGCACGCATAATTCTGTTGTACAGGTCCCACTCCAGTGTGGACCAGAATGGTTTGAGCCAATCCTTGAAACCATGTATTTGCTGAAATGTTTTGGGTTTAGGGGATTAATTTATGACCCTACTCTAAGGAATAATTTGATTTCCTCTATGTTAAAAAAATTACTTTAAGATAAATTCACTGTAAGCAATATTCATATATTCATAAATGTTATGAACTTTACAGATTTTTAGTGTTTTCCATTATGCCTTTCATAGTCCAAGTTTCTACTGATGCCTCTCCAGTATTATTTTAGTAATTTCAGCATTTTTACGATGGTCGAACTTATTTCCATGCAAGTAATGAACTTGCACCATAACATATGTTTTGATTATTAAGCTTCAGTGCTAGAGAATATGAGTGTAGAAAAATGTAACCCAGTGCCAGTTCTGAATTTTAGGGGTTTATTTCTGCTTTTTAGGGGCTTTTTGAATTTTGACTTGATGAAGAAGCATTTCACCTTGGAAAGTGAAAATGTAACATCCTCACATTAAGTGCAGCATACAGTAAATAACAAAACAACGTACCACAGTACCCTGGAGTTCCACAAACTGTCTTCATGGTCACTTGATCTTCCACAATCTTGGAAAGTCCAAAGTCAGCTGTTAAGATTGTTTACGAATATTAATGTTCTTACTTCCTTGTAAAATCACTTTTCTTTTTAACATTCTATATGTAATTAAATGAACATTTATGCATTAAATGAACAGTACTGTCATTTCCAGAGATCAGGATCAATTTAAAGAATCTATCCAGATTGCAATCCAGAATCAAAATTTGTCCTTACAAATGAGTATGCCTGATTCTTGCTTGGCAGAAATGTAGCTTGTATTTTATCCTGAAGACTGCACAAAGCCAATAAAATGGGATGCCTAAGGGTATATAAGCAGTGATCCAGAAATCCATTTCAGGTATATATTCAGCTTCCACTCTGTGAGTAATCCCATAAGATTAACAGAACAATCTTGGGCTAAAATATTGTGCATTAGTGATTTCTTGGATAAGGTCAGAGTACGCAGTTCCTGCAAGACAAAATCCTAGCAGTATTTTGATAGAGGGCTTCCAGGGGAACAGAGGTTGTGCCAGGAGAAGTACCGATCATCCTTTTTGCAGTGTTTCCACCCTGAATTACTACTCAAACAGCAAAAGCCTTCATGATGTTACACATTGTCTTGAATGACTCATTTTTTAAAAGACATAAAAACTGAAGTCTTCACAACTGTTAAGTTTTCACTGAGAATAAACTGAGCTTCTTCAAATTCCAATTTAGGTGACGACAATCTGGCCTTAAATAAAAGTATTTTTGTTTTGCTACAGTGAAGATTAAAGGGAATGTTTTGACTCAAGATCAGTATAAAAATAGTTCATATTTTATTCTAGAAATGCATAGTTAGGGTTCATGTGTCCCTAAATGGTTATCATTTATATGTTGTTACTTATCTAAACAGAAACATACTTTACTTTTATAAACTCTGCCACTCATTGTAAATCAGATCTCAATTTAAACAAGGCAATAATCTTAACCAGAAGATGAAGAATCACAGCATTAAAGAAAATGCTTCAGAAGCACCTACACCACTGTAGCTGTCAAACCAAGGCCACTGGGTGCTGCATTAAGCTATCATGTTACAGCTGTTCAGAGACTTTCCAGGAAAGATAAGAACTAGGATAAAATGTAAATTAAGATACCATCATCCTGAGATGCAAGACTTTCCTAGAAATTTATATTACATTGCTTGAGACTAGTTTGTGGAAATCTGGGTCCTGAAACCCATGATGAATACTGGTCTGATGAACGTGGCAACTCTCACTCCTTGCATGCTCCCATGCTTCCCAGTAAGGGAGCATGAGGTGGGATTTCCAAACTGGTTACCTACAGCTCAGGAGTGTTGCACAGACCTTCTCTTTGCTCAAGCAAAAACTGGGCACAAGCAGCATTTTTGGAGGTCATGCCCTTTGCAAGCACCCGCCATCCCCAACAGAACTGGCATAATACACCCCTGTCCAGGAGAGTCTGGTCTCACCCTGTCCCTCCTCAGCTCCCTGGTAGTGCTGACTGTGCTTCAGATAGCTTCCCTACGCACTTTGTGAAGATCACTTCTTATCCCTCAAATCTGTCTTCAAAACAGACATCAGTCTTGCTCAGTTTGCTTTCTACGGCTGATCTGCACATTTGTACTTTCGTGCAAATGAATCTTTCCTCTTAAAATACTAGTTTAACAATAAAAGGGGAACAGAAATGGTGCACACAGTTGTACTCTGATCTCATGATCCTTCTTGTTCCTCCTGAGCACTTTATTCTCTGTCATGTTCTGCACAATTTTGGCTATAAATTCTCTAAGCAAGCATCTAGTTTTGTATTGGTTTTAAAAACACCATGCATAGCTGTACTGCCGAAGAAGTAACATGCTGTTCATTTGAGTATAAGCATTAGCTTTGAATAAAGTGCTGGTGACACATATATACGGTAAAGATCAGTTAGCACATATTACTGGTACAAAGGAATTAGGGAAGCATACATTTAATGCTGCTTACCGATTTTTAGTGGTGCATCTGGTGCTGGCGTTGCATAGAGTAGATTTTCTGGCTTCAAGTCACGATGGACAATCCCATTCGCATGCAGGTACTAGAAAAAGAAAAAGACAAAACATTTAAGTGAGAGTAAAATGTTATGGTCAAGCATGAGCCAACATCTTCCTAATAATCTATAGCAGCAGATTAATAATCTGCCACGTGTGTGACACAGAGTCACAACTAATTTTCAGCAGCTTTTTTTCTGCAAACCTGCTCAGCACAGGATCCTGGGATGCATATTGTAATCTGAATAGGAAACTAACATTTGGGAAGGCAAAGATAGCATCACGTCCACTTGAGAAGAAAAACATCTCAGAAAGTATTATTGGCTTTTTAAATACAGTGGTAGCTTCTAGGAATAGATGTTGAGATACCAAAGTCTGGCTCAGGGGAAGGTACTTTCTGCACATTATAACATTCTGAGAGATAAGAAGATAGTCATACAACTATTATACTATTAAATAGACATCTTTGAGTTCAAAGGATGCAGTATGTGTCCTGGGCCAACTATAAGATCCTTGAGGTCCCTGGAGCAGGCTTCTCAAGGGTTTTAAAATCACCCAATTACAGAGTCTCAAAAATCCATCTGTCTTGCAGAAGCACATGCAGTACATGTGAACCCACTCACCACTGAATTCGTTTAAAGATGCTGTTGCTGCCTTACACTAATGGAAAAAAGAATTTCTGGAATATATGGCTGCCTCTTACACTGCTATAGATAGACATGGAAAAAATATAATACAGTGATAGACAAAAAAAGATAAACTAGCAAAACAAATTCTGTATTTCTTGTTGATAAAACATTCAGCAGAAACCTCTGAGGCCTTGGAAGAAAGATGTTTAAGGGTAGAATCACATTATCCTATTTAAAGTTTCCTGGTCTACATTTTAGTAGCATCTCTTTCAGCTGTGTTTTCATTATTAAAAAAAAACCAGTGTGTGTGCACTGTTATGCAGCAAAAGACAAATGGCTGAATTTTCATTTTCAAAGCACAGCCACAGTGTGCACTTGAGTTAGCATGACAGCTGAATTCTTGACTGTGTATCGCATTGGAATTTTAGTTTGTATAACTTGCCAGTGACTAAATAACATTAAGTAAGAATACATTGCTCTTTCCTTAGGCATTGTTTTAGTGACACTGAGTGCTTTTCAAGTGTGTGTTTCTCACAGTGCAATAAATGTTTTTTGTTGACTTTCTCTAGAATCCTAAAGTGGCAGTATTTGTGATGATGTGCCTTGTGGAGATCAGCCAAAGACTCTCATCTACTTTACTTCACTGAAATCTAAGTGCTTGTCCCAGTTGTGTTTTCTACAATGAGACAGCTAATCAGTTATCCAAGGTAAAACCAGGCAATAATATATGGAAACTGATGGACTGCACGCTGCTACATCATTTAATGTGGTCACGTCTGCACACAATCATGTCCACTCTGGATAAAAATATATCTTCATCTGCCCTTGAAGAGATAACTGTAGCAAAAATGCTCCCACAGCATAGCACTGATGTGTTTGACACACATAGGTAATAGCAGCACAGAGGGAGTGCAATCAAGGTGGAGTGGACAGAAAAAGATGTCTGAACTGATCTGTCTTCCTGTGCTGCAAATCAGTTTAGCTGACTCTGTAGGAGTGAGAAGGATCAGACATTTCACGATCACTCTGTGGAAAGCAGACACTTCTGATTCCTTTGTACGAAAAATCTTTGACCAAATCTGTGCAGCGAAATGTTCCAGTCAAGTCTGCCATGTTTTAACAGGTCCTTTTTCACACACACCCATAATCTTAAAAACTTTTCATAGTGTGAGGTGGAAAACATTGACACTTTCTTCTCTTCCCAGAATCGCATTTTTGTGGGAGGGGAATTCGCTAAAACTCTGGGAGAAGCTGTTCAACTTTTCCTCAGTCGTGAAGTCAGACTGGCTCGCAGGGCTCCTTCTCAGACATAGCAAGAACCATAACCGACAACATCAGCTAACCATGCTTGCACCTCATGACTAACTGACTTTTTAACACATTTGTATTGAACTTGCAGTGTGAACTCTTTTTTTATTACAAACTCTTAAGACCCCATGTAGGAAAGTTTCACTCCTCCACCCAGCCCACCATTTGCAGAAAACTCGCAGGACAGGGATGCTCAACAAACGTAAATTGCCTCAAGAACTTAAGTCACATCTTTCAAAGACTGCCACTGCTATAGTTTGAGCTCTCTCCTGTCCCCTCTTCATAACATGCAAGCTACTCCTACTCTCCCCACCACACCTCCCCTCAAGTCCCCAGCATCCTAGCCCAGAACTCCTGCCCACCCATAGTACCTCCTCTGATCTCTCCCTGAGGTCCACATAGACCCCATCACGGTTGCTACAATCCCTGAGCTCAGTCCCTGCTGCTCTGTTGTCTCTCTCCCGCTGTTTCACTTGCTTGACTTGATGATACCTGTGGTGCTCAGACCAGCCATGCATGCAGCTGGGGCTGCCTCAAGCTGCCAGCTCATGGGTTTAACAGACCTACTGTTGGCATCTCATATCTTTGAGATCTAGCCTCCTGACAAATTTTGTTGAGGTTGGCCAATAAGGATAATAGTTTTGTTGTGAACTAACAGACAAAAGGCCAAAACAGACAAAAAAAGCTCCAGTGTTTTCACTGATGCAGAAATCCCACTCTTCAACCACACAAAAGTAGCAGCTAGCCTCATGGATCCCCAGCCCTCTGAGGGGAGAGATCGCTGGTTGGACTTATGTAAAAGGTACGTGCCTCCAAACAGCCTTGTTACTAAAGGTCTCCAGTACATGCAGCGACCTCCTGTCCTCCAGCCTGAGCCACCTGTCATTCACTGACTGCATCTCCTGCTCCACAGCCTGCTATGAATGGGACCTTCCAAGACTGTGCCCATTTTCAGCATTGCTCTCTTACTTGGTAAATACCCTGGGACTTGTTTGCAAATTTTCATCAGTCCCAACAGCTCTGCTCCCCATACAGCATAATAGCTCCTGGTACTGAAGACTACTTGGTAACTACATTGTCTTGTATATACATGAAAAGTATTCTGAGTTAAACTATCTTGATTTAGAAACAGATTTACTTAAATTAGCATAATCCACTTTGTATAACACTTATTTCAATTTATATATGCTCTATTTTGATTGCTCTTCACTTTCTCACATATTGATTTTAATAAGCGTCATGTTCCTTTGCAGGCAATGCCTCTGCAGCATACGTTTAAAGACTCTCCCAGTTTGGAGTACAGTTTTGGGCATTGTGTATTCTCATTGTAAAACAGATAGTCTGTGCTCTACTATTTACATGCCAGGTCTCTTAATAACTACATGATGCGATTAAAAGTGAAGATCGGGGCTCAGGTATCAAGCCAGAGCAGCGTACTGACTCACTGTACAATCTACTACTGCTCAATTACATCACTTTCCCCACCTATAAGGTATGGATAAGACTTGAAAAACATTTGAATTCTATGGATGGATGACGAGGTTTCAGATGCACAGTGCTGCACAACAGTTTAACATAGCATGCACATAAAATGTGATCGTGACATGATACTCTTGTAGTAGCTAAAATCTCCTGTTTTCACTTTCTTCTGATTTTCAGTAGACAATGCCACCCACTAAAAGAGAATAAAGCATGGCAGTTCTCTGATTGCAGCTTTGCTAATTTGTGTTAGTGAAATAAGGTGAATATAGAAAATTTAAATTTACATCAAAATTCTGTATTTCCATGGCAACATTACATGGATATGTTCAGCTCTAGTTATGTTGTGTAACATCTGTGCACCAAAATGTAAGATTTACTTGTACAGTAACAGCACTTTGTCTGGCCTGATGAGATGTAGATGGAAGAGAGGCCTCCACAGGATCTGATAGCAAGGCCCTTTGAAGAAGACCTTGTGGAAGAAGCCCTCTCCATGCATGGCAGTTTCACTCTAGCAGCTGGCCAACGATATGGGGAACAGAAATTATGCTTTCTCCTCTGGTTTTTTTTGAACACCACATCAAGGCAGGTGCTATAAATAGGGACAGTATACTGATTTTAAGGAACATATGGCTATTCCATTTAGCGAAAGAGAATGAACAAGAAAGAGTAAAATGGAAACACTAGAGACCCTGAGCAGTCTGTATAAAATTAGTGAATTTACATGCAAATGAAATAAAATAAATAGTGAAAAAACATATTTCTGCATCCTATGATCACACTTCATTTTCAATTGCTTTTGCCAATGAGATGTAAGTAGGCCAGGCGGGTGAATCAGCTGTGCTTCAGGCACACAGTCAAGTACTGCGTTATTATTGTAGAGCATCTCAGATAACCTGGGACAAACGTTTTCTAGCAAAATTGACTATGATAGTCTTACTACCCTTTGACAAACGTTAAGGACAGACTCAGCATGATATTAGGTGGGAATAATATACAGACCCTTTTCTGAAAGACTTACTGGTTAAAATAAAGGCAGCCTTCAACTTGGCCTTTATTCCTGTCGTATATAACAGCAACTCATGACTAAACAATTGCTGTGACTCTAATTGCAACTGCAGCACAAAGATTTTTTTTCTGTCTATTTTTTTCTTAAGCTTCTTTCTAATTGCTGTTTGAGAGTTCCTTCTGCTTTTTGTTTTATCCTTTAATAATTCAGGTTCCCATCTAATGTGAAAGATTTTATGACAAAAGGACAAATGAAGACTGCTTAAAACGCTGGCCTTTTTCCTTTATTTTATTTATGGTATCTATTACACAGAACTGTAGAAAAGAAGGGCTGAAATCAGCCTGAATCATCTACTCCTTTCTATGTTCCTTGCTACATCTACAACAGTTATTTGTCTAATTTTTGCTTAAGAACTTCTGATATTAGACACTCCACAATTTCCCCAAGCAATTTATTACAGAGCTGTGCTATCTTGACTGTCAGTACTTCCCGGTGAATTTCCTGGATCTTGACAGGGACAGACGAAGCCCATTACTTTGTTTCTTATATACCATAGAAGCAGAAAGCAAATTATTCCCTTTTTTGCCACAGCCTTTTGAGTATTTGTTACCATGCACACAGG